TCAGCCTTCCTGCTCCTCTGATGCTGCTTGGCCTGCTGTGTTCATCCAGCTCTACACCTTGTTATCTCTAATGTTCTGGGGACCCATGTTCAAATCTTGCCATGGCAAGTGGTGGAATTTGAATTCAATAAAGAATCTGGATTAAGGGTCTAACTATGACCATGAAACCGCTGTGAATTGTTGGAAAAACCCATCTGGGTCGCTAATGCCCTTTAGGGAAGGAAGCTGTCATCCTCACCTGGTCTGGCCTACATGAGACTCCTGACCCACAGCAATTGGTTGACTCTGCCTGCCCACAGTTGCCCACAACCATGAGTGAAATAAAAACAGTCAGGTACAGTGCACTAAACAGAAGGGAGGCTGTCAAAAGTACAGCATGTAGGAGGGTGCTTGTAAAGAAAATTAAGAGGAAAAAGAGGGGCCATGAAATAACTTTGGCAGATAGCATCAAGGAAATTCCCAGGGCTTTTTATAAATATATTACCAGGGAAAGAGTGAGACCTATCAGATGCCAAAGGGGCAACCTGCATGGAGCCAGGAGACATGGGTGAGGCCTTAAAGGAATATTTTTCATTTATATCCACAGGAGAAATACATTGTAGCTAGGAACTTCAGTTGGGATGGTGAGGGCACATTCATTAATAAGGAGGAGGTATTAGATGTTTTAGCAGGTATAAATAGAACATAGAACAGTACAGCACAGTACAGGCCCTTCGGCCCACGATGTTGTGCCGAACTTTTATCCGAAGCCTAAGGTCTATCTAACCTCCACCGCTACCTTATGCTATCATCCATATGCCTATCTAATAGCCGCTTAAATGCCCCTAATGAGGCCGACTCCACTACCCTCTCCGGCAATGCATTTCACGACCCTACCACTCTAAGTAAAGAATCTACCTCTGACGTCTCCCCGATATCTACCTCCTTTCACTTTAAAACTATGTCCCCTCGTAAAAGCTACCTCCACCCTAGGAAAAAGTCTCTGGCTATCTAACTATACCTCTGGTCATTTTGTACATCTCTATCAAGTCACCTCTCATCCTTCGTCGTTCTAAAGAGAAAAGCCCTAGCTCTCTCAACCTTTCCTCGTAAGACCTTTCCTCCATTCCAGGCAACATCCTGGTAAATCTCCTCTGCACCTTTTCCAACGCTTCCACATCTTTCCTGTAAAAGTGCATAAATCCCCAAGGTCTGATAAGATAGATCTCAGGTTTCTATGGGAGGCAAGGGACTAGATCACTGGGGCCGTGGCAGACCTATTTAATACTTCATTGACCACATGTGAAGTGCCAGAAGACCAGAGAATAGCTAATGTGGTTCCTTTGTTCAAGAAGGACAGTAAGGATAGGCCAGGTAGTTACAAAACAGTTAGTCTGACATCAGTCATTAAACTATTGGGGATAAACTCTGAAGTCAGGATTAATCAACACTTGGAAAGGCAGGGTTTAAGTGGGGATGGTCAGCATGGGTTGTTAGTGACACCTTGTCTGACTAATTGAGTTTTTTTAAGAGGTGACTAAATATTTTTGAGAGTAGCTCAGTTGATGTGATTTATATGGACCTCCTTAAGGCCTTTGACAAGGTCCCACATGGAAGGCTGGTCCAAAAGGTAAGAGCCCATGTGATCCAAGGCAAGTTGGCAAACTAGATCTAAAATTGGCTTACAGGCAAGAGGCAAAGGGTGATGCTGAAGGGTAGTTTTTGTACTTGTAAGTCTGTGACCAGCAGTGTAGCACAGGGATCAGTGCTGGGACCTTGGCTGTTTGTTACGTACATTAGGATATGAATTTAGAAGGTAAAATTAGCAAGTTTGCAGATGACATGAAAATTGGGAATGTTGTTGATAGTGAGGAATATGGTCTCAGGCTGCAGTCTGATATTGATCAGCTGATAAATTGGGCAGAGCAAGGGCAGATAGCATTTCTTTCTGATAAGTGTGATGCATTTTGGAAGGTCTCATCAGGGAAAGATTTGCGCAATGAATGGTAGACCCTAGAGAGTCTTCAAACTTTATTTATTCATTAACAGAATGAGGGTGTCGCTGGCCAGGCAGCATTTATTGCCCAGAGGGCATTTCAGAGTCAACCACATTGCTGTTGGTCTGTAGTCGCATATAGTAAGGATATCAGTTTCCTTCCCTAAAGGATGTTAATGAACCGGATGGGTTTTTCCAACAATCAACAATGGATTCACGGTCATCATTAAACTCTTGATTCCAGATATTTATTTAATTCAAATTCCACCATCTGCCATGGCGGGATTCGAACCCAGGTCCCCAGAGCGTTATCTGGGTCTCTGGATTAACCACTAGGAACAAAGGGACTTTGGTGTACAGGTCCCATAGATCCCAGAAGGTGTTAGTACAGCTAGACAGGGAGATGAAGGCAAACACGATTAGCTGTGTCATAGAAAATAGGAGCAAGGAAGCATTGTTACAACTTTCTAGGCTTGTTAAGGCCACTGATGGAATACTGTGTGCAGTCTGATCACCACATTATCGGAAGGACATGATTGCACTAGTGAGAGTACAAAGGAGACTCATCAGGATTTTACCTGGGATGGAAGGGCTGTTATGTGGAGAGACTGGATAGGCAGTGTTTGTTTTCCTTGGGGCTGGGGGGAGGGAGTCTGAGGTATACAAAATTGAGAAGCATACACTGTAGATTGTGAGAATCTTTTCTCCATGGCAGATGTGTCTAAGACCAGAGGACATTAGTTTAAGGTGAGGAGCAAGTGATTTGGAGGAGATCCGAGGAAGAAAAACTTGCACTCGGAAGGGGTGGTCAAGGCAGATACTCTGGCAACATTTAAGCAGCATCTGGATGAGCACTTAAAATGTCAGGGAATAGTAGGCTGTGGACCAAATGCAGATAAATAGGATTAGTTTAATTTAGTGTTTGTTGGTCAGCATAGACGCAGTGGGCTGAAGGGCCTGTTTCTATGCTGCATGATTCTGACCGTAACCATGTTCAATTGTAATAGTGAACTGATTTAGCAACTCATTAAAAGTAACAGGGGATATTAATTCACGAGAATAATGTTGGGTAAACGCAGAATTTTGTCCCAAAGCAATTGATTACACCTGTGCCAGATGATCAAAGAACTTTAGTGTGCAGATGGGTGACTCTTTACAAAGGTTTGTGTCTGTAAGGTGGTGGTTCAGATAAAAGGATCAAATGTTTCTTTCAGATATTTTTAACGATACTGTTTCAAATAGTTGTAAGATAGTTTGTGATCTTTTGTGTAGTAAACTTTCATATTGCTTTTAAATTACATTGAGAGCCTCTTGTGAATATATTTCAATTCGTAATATTTATTTTCACAATTTATATTCACAGTATGTCTGTGATCTACAGAAAGGAAAATAAAACTTTTGAAACATCATGCCAGATCTGACTTGCTTTGTATTACCATCAGCTGGGCTCATATATTCATGAGTTCACCCAATAAAGGAACAGGACTGTCCCATTCCCCACTGCTCAGCACCTCAGTTAACGACTGAATCATGAGCAAAGTCCATGTAAATTCACCCATAAGCAGTTTCACCTCCCCTAGGCTGGAGAGTAGATTGGGTGACACTAAAGTAGCCCCTCACCTACAGAAAAACCTGGAACGGCTGTCAATGTTGAAGTGAACGTGTAACAATCTGTTTGTGTCCTAGGAATTCGGAGACAGTGACGTACTTTTGGAAGAACTGGAATATTCCTGTTCACAAGTGGTGCAGCAGGTGAACCTTATTTACTACACCCTGAAGCTTCCTTCTACTGACTTTCTTTCACCTGAGTGATATGAATGAGTCAAATGTGAAGACGGCCTTTTCTTTTGTCATTGATTTCTGACCTGGCAAAACAATACATTTCGGCAGCATCTTTAACATGAGAGAAGGGGCAAGTCCAAAGAAGATTATAAGAGGCATAAGGGAAAAGAACAGCATGACAAAGGAACATGAAACATAGAAACATAGAAAATTGGTGCAGGAATAGGCCATTCAGCCCTTTTGAGCCTGCACCACCACCAAAATGATTATTGATGATCATGCAGTTTCAGTATCTTGCGCCTTTCTCATCGTACTTCTTGATCCCTTTAGCTACAAGGGCCATATCCAGCTCCCTCTTGAATAAATCTAACAAACTGGCCCCAACAGCTTCCTGTGGATGAGAATTCCACTGGCTCACAATTCTGAGTGAAGAAATTCTTCCTCATCTCAGTCCTGACTTGTTTACCTCTTATTCTTAAACTGTGATCCCTAGTTCTGAACTTCCCCAACATCAGGAATAATCTTCCCACATCTAGCCTGTCCCAGCAGGATTTTCTATGTTTCTATGAGATGCCCCCTCCCCATTCTCCTAAATTCCAACGAAAACAAGCCCATTCGATCCAGTCTTTCCTCATGTCAGTCCTGCCATCCTGGGAATCAGTCTGGTGAGCCTTCACCTCCATAGCAAGTCCTTCCTCCAACTAGGAGACCAAAAGTGCACACAATACTCATGGTGTGGCCTCACCAATGCCCCGTACGACTGCAGCAAGGTATTCTTACTCCGATACACTCATCCTCTCGCTCTGAAGGCCCGCATGCCATTTGCTTTCCTCACTGCCTGCTGCAACTGTTCCACTATGACTGAAGTAGTAGCCAAATTGTGAGCCTGTGGAATTCTCTCCCACAGGAAGCTGTTTGTTAGATTTATTCAAGAGAGTGCTGGATGTGGCCCTTGTGGCTAAAGGAATCAAGAAGTATGGCAAGAATCAGGCCATTTGGCCATCTGCTCTGTGCCAGTGCTTATGTTCCATACACGTGTCTTTCCACCCTACTTTATCAAATGCTAGTAAAATATCATTCCATTCCTTTCTCCCTCCGTACTTAGCTAGCTTCCTTTAAGGCTGTAACCAATAGTGAAGCTTGGAGGAGACGGCGAGGCTCTGTGCTTATAATGGAATGTCCAAGATGTAGGCCTGAGTCAGCTGAAAGCGGACCTGAGTACATTGGGTTTGAAGGGAAAAGTGAAGTACAAGATTGGAGATGGGGAATGGAGAGTTTGATGGAAGGGATTTGTTAGGTTTCCTTTCATTAATCAATGATTCAGTACAGATAGGACTGGATACATTTCTGGACCTGAGCTGTACTTCCCATAATGAGAGTTTTATTATCATGTTTAGATGGTGTTGTAAAGTCAGGATAATAAATACCTGTGACACCTCCCCCCACCCTCTTTCCACCCCCCAACCCCAAAAAAATAAGCCAAATCTGAGGCCAGTCCTCAGTGTCTTTTGAAACTTCCTGTACATTCTGTCTGTTCAAACCCACTTTTTATAGAAATCATTGAATCCCTACAGCATGGAAACAGGCCATTCTCATATTCTTGTTAGATTTGAGATGTTTTGGAATGAGGCCACAAAGGAATTTGCAGACACAGACAACAGTGTTTAATTTGGAGGCAATTGGTGGCCCAAAGTAGGTCAGTAAGGATGGAGACAAGAGGTGAATAGGACTTTGATTTATTTGTGGGATGTGGCTGACACTGTAGACGAGTGAGTATTGCCCTCAAGGAGGTGGTGATGGTGAGCTCTCGTTTTAAACTGATGTATTCCTTGGGGTGTATGGACATCCACAGACCTGTTAGGGAAGGAATTCCAGGATTTTGACCCAGCGCCACTGAAGGAACGGTGAAATACTTCCAAGTCAGGATGGTCCCTCTTTCAGAAGGGAACTTGTAAGTGGTAATGCAGTGCATCTGCTGCCCTTGTCCTTCTAGATGGTAGAGGGTTGTGGGTTTGGGAGGTGCAGGTCAGCATAGCTCCCAAGTTAAATGAGAGATTGGAACAGAGATAATAGGAACTGCAGATGCTGGAGAATCTGAGATAACAAGGTGCAGAGCTGGATGAACACAGCAGGCCAAGCAGCATCAGAGGAGCAGGAAGGTTGACGTTTTGGGCCTAGAACCTTCTTCAGAAACGGGCGTAGACCACCTCTAAAGAAGGGTCTAGGCCCGAAATGTCAGCCTTCCTGCTCCTCTGATGCTGCTTGGCCTGCTGTGTTCATCCAGCTCTACGCCTTGTTATGAGAGATTGGAACAGTCTGGTTTGGATATGATGAAGCGGGAGGCCACGGGGCAACCTTTTTCTTTCAGTTGATGGTGGGAAATGTGATGCAATAAATCTATTAAATCAGTATGTGTTTTACGTGCAGGCACTTCTACAAGCCCATGCTGAAGAGAGGAATGAACAAGAGGACGGCACAGACAGCAGTCTTCCTCGCATCAGCTTTCTTTCACGAGGTGAGGATGTTTGTTTTTGGGGAGGTTTTGATTTTGCAGCTGAGACTAAGTGCTGCCTCTCCCAGCCAGTGCTAACACTTTTTGTCTGAAAGCACTTAACCCCTAACCTGGTGAGGATTGTTCCCTGATGCCCCCTCAAATTACAGCAGTCTCCATCCACTTTGGTTCTGGCCCTCACCATCTGGTGCATTGGAATTTATTGCTGTGTTTCCAGTCAACCAGCCACCTTTCCTGCCATCCTTTGCCATCCCACACCAATAATCATTGCTTCCTCCCTGGTCTCCTGCTGATGCAAGCATGCTGGTGTTGCACTATATTCTTTTATGGGATGCAAGCATCGCTGGCTCAGCCTATGTTTGTTGCTGATCCCTAGTTAGCCTTAAGGTGGTGCTGGTCAGCCACTGCCTCAATCAGGTGTATTTATTGACACATTCTCCCAACTCGCTGGGGGAGGAAAAGACTGCATGCTGTGGAGATTATCACGGATAACTCCAAATGCTGGAAATCTCAACGAAATTAAATTGCTAACATCGGGCATCATGTCAATCAGCAGCTGAGACCGTACAAGTGGCTTTTAATGTTTCCAGTAGAAAACCACTACTAGAGAAAAGAAAAATTTGCAATTCTACACTGTCAGGGGCATATCCAAAATTACTTCACAGCCAACCAAGTATTTCTTGAAATGTAGTCAGATACACTGTGGGAAAATATACCAGCCAATTTGCTGTCAGCGAGTTCCAAGAAACAAATTAATAGTGAATTCATCAATTTGTATAAGAACCAAAATGGCTGAAAATACTCAGCAGCCCTGGCTGCCGTTGTGGGGTGAGGACTCGCATTAACTGACCCAGCATTTTCTGTTTTTATTATTCCTGATTTGTGCTTGTGTAATCCATTTGAGATGTTAATCAAGGAAGAAATGCTGCTTCACAGCACCAAGGATAGTAGGAACTGCAGATGCTGGAGAATCTGAGATAACAAGATGTAGACCCTTCTTAGAAGGGTCCCGATCTGAAATGTCAGCTTTCCTGCTCCTCTGATGCTGCTTGGCCTGCTGTGTTCATCCAGCTCTACACCTTGTTATCTCAGCACCAAGGACCCAGGTTCGATTCCAGCCTCGGACAACTGTCCGTGTGGAGTTTGCACATTCTCCCCGTGTCTGCGTGGGTTTCTTCCGGGTTCTCTGGTTTCCTCCCACAGTCCAAAGTTGCACAGATTAGGTGGATTGGCTGTGCTAAATTGCCGCATGGTATCCAGGGATGTGTAGATTAGGTGGATTAGCCGTGGGAAAATGCAGGATTGCAGGATAGGGTTTGGGTGGTGGTTCTAGGTGGGATCCTCTTCGGAGGGTCATTGTAGTTTTGATGGGCCGAATGGTCTGCCTCCATGCTGTAGGGATTCTGAAATACATATAGGACTCTGAGAGAAGACACCCTGTTTTTCAGAATAGCGTTGAGAGATTTTCCATCCGTTTTAGAGATCAGGTCCCACCCTGATTTCACATCTTATCCAAATGAATGCACCAGCAACAATACAGCACCACCCTCATCGGTAGGTCGGTCTGGTTTATTAAAACAACTTCTGGAATGGGCCTTGAACCCACAATCTTCTGACTTGGGTGAAAAGGCCAGTAATAGCTGACACAAAATGCTCTCTCACTAAAGAAACTCTACCATTAGTTATTATTGCTAGGCAATCTTTAAACTGTAACAAAGACAGAAATTACTGGAGGAACTCGGCAGATCTGGTGGCATCTGTGGATAGAGAAACAAAATTAATGTTTCGAGTCCAGTGTCCCTTCATCAGGAGGATTCTGCCAGACCTGTTGTTCTCCGACAATTTCTATCTTTCAGACTTGCAGTATCTGCAGTTCTTTGTTTTATTTTAGTGTTGAAACTGTGTTGTATCAATCTGTACCTCGAGTCCTAAATAACTGTCTTATGTCTCCAGTATCTGGTCAGTGTTCCTCTGAAGATGTTCCGACTGTGGGCATTCATGGGGATGATGGCCCAGGTGAGTACCCAACAGTAACAAAACTACCTGATTCAGGGGCTTTCAATCTGTGGGAGTTAGATTGAGAAACCAGAGGCTGACATCCACTTGTCCATCCTGTAGTGCTGAGTACGATGAGAGATTTGTTTGGAAACAGGTCAGCATGATTCAGTAATGTCCCTTTGAAGTTAAAGCATTTACCCTCTTGGGGTGGTCGACTGTGACAGCTAATTTCCTTAAGTAGGCATGAACCTGAAAGCCTGAATGTGACAAACCGGAGAGAAGGATGCTAACCTCCCTTTCCTCTCCCAGTATGATCGCCATGGTTGCAGAAGCTACTGCATAGACAAGTGTTCTTAATGTGCAGTGATCACAGCAGCTAGAAATGAATTGCTGTGATCAGCTCAACTATAGACTCTGAACACCCTTCCCTATGGACCAGTCTAAAGAAGAGATTTTAGCTTAACACTGTCCAGAATATTTGACTTTGTGTGATGAGAGGGGCAAATTTGCCTGGTAAATGTAAGGTCTGAAGCCCTAGTTCCTCCAGCTTTGTGGAGGGAGTGTAGGCTGAAACTTGAGCAGCTTCTCAGACTGGCTTTTTGTCATTGATCCCCTCTGTGTGTTTTTGACTGGTGCAAATTCGATGGGCTGAAAGGCCTTTTCTGTGCAGTAGATTTTTGTGACTCAACGCTGATAATAAAGATAATGTGGAAGAGAGAGACAGACAGGCAGGCAGCGAAGTATAGGGGTGTTTTAAAAAAAATTGAATCACTTTCCTCTTTAATTTCCAGGTTCCACTGGCTTGGTTAGTTGGGACGTTTCTGAGTGGGAATTACGGAAATGCGGCAGTGTGGTTGACCCTGATCATTGGGCAGCCGATTGCAGTGCTGATGTATGTGCACGATTATTACATTTTGAACCATGAGGGACCTCTGTGATTACAGGAAACCTGCAAAAACTACAGAATCTGCAACGTGAACAAGGACACTCATCTACTTTCATAATCGGTGGAAATTTCTTGGAGAGGATTTTCTTTTGTTCTAAGGGGTTTGGTGCTTTAAGGAAAGTGTTTGTGGGACACGGGGACCACCATCCTTTTAGAATTATTCTATTTGCATCCACAGAGCAGTGGGAAAAATGGCACTGCAGTCAGGGGTGGGGATGAGGGTAAGTTGGAAAGTAGAATTTCAGTCAGCATGATCACTGATGTGGGATATAAAATATGTGGTCCATACGTAGTGTAACCATCCACTGTAAAAGGGAGAAAGGTGGTTGGATTTTGTCTGCGTGATCCCCAAAAAAACAGTGAGAAAGCTGACATCCTGGTCAATACTGCTATCTGGCTGTTTGTTCCATCTTAGGATCTCTGTCCATTCATTTAACAGGGATCCATAAGATCTTAACCTGGTTGGCAAACAGAGCCATGTTTTAACCCCACAGATGCTGAATGAAATATGTTCCACAAAGATTCTTCAGGGATGGATTGGTGAAGTCTGTGCCCCTGAGGGGTGGGGGGTGCAATTGGAGGAGAAAGTGTCTCATTTGATTCGGCCCAGTGAAAACAATTCTTTCACTGTCTCTCTCCTCCTTTGGAAGTGGGGGATTGAAGCACATAATAGAGTGTTCTTTTCTCCACTAACTTATTAGAGATATGAGAGTATTAAATATTGAACATCTTCAGCTGGAGATGAGCATGGTCCTGAGCTAGTGGGAGGAGTACCCCATGGAGGACATTTATTATTTTATCTTTATCATTTGTTTTTCTCGGTTATTGTTCCTTGAGAAAATTGCTGGTATGTTTCTTTGCTGTTTCTCATATTCCCTCTACCCAGAGAAGAATATTCCTGGTCACAGGTTCAAGCTGTGATAGCTGTGTTCAGGAATGTGTTCCCTGTAGTTAATGAGCCCAGTATAGGATTTCACCATTTTCTTGAGTGACAACTTTGGACAACTGTCCTAAAGGAGATCAAATATCATCTCAAAATAAACCATCAGCTACCTGCTCAGTCGATGGAAGGGTGAGAGTGAGATTTCTTCTATTTATTTGGCTGTTTTTTTAAAGACAATAGTAAAAACCATGTTTTTATCCTCCGAGTTCTCCCCACCTCCCACTTCTTGTACCCAGCTCTCCTTTGACAAGGTTAGTTTCCAATACAGCCAGTGAGGCAAGTGAATGATTTGCTTGTATGAGGGAGTTTATAGAATGGCCTCACAGGAGGAAGTCCTGTCCATCAGCTGTTCATCCAGTCAAAAACATTGACTTTTGCTGACATATTCTAACAAAGTGTTAGATGAGTGAGTGAATGCCTTAAAAAAACAAAAAACTCCTCCACTGTCTGATCTGTCCTTTAGGAACTGTCCTCCAGTTCACACCACCACACCCCCACCACGTGCAGGTTTCACCACTTCAAGTCATTAATGAAATGTTGTGGACATTTCCCACTACAAACACTGGTCATTAGAAAACTTGATAGTTTTCAAAGACACTTTCATGTTTAAGGGAGCTAACACCAGCTTGAAACAGAGATAATCCTCCCCAGAAATGTGTGTCTGTTTGTTTTTCACTAAGTGCCTGACTGGTTTTGTAACTTCTGATTGCAAGTTTGTTACCTGATTTTTTTACTGTAACAAAACTGCATCAACAATGCAATTTCTGGAATATTATCTTTCACACAGTCAATATTTAACATTCCTGACCCACTTGGGGAGCCCATCAGCAACTGAAAGCTGGAATGATCTGTGTAGAGGAGAGGGGCTTATTTTAATAAAGGTGGGCAGCAAGTAGATTATGGATGCAGAGTGTGACAGATGCTTCCACTAATAGGATCTGTGCTGGGATAGCTGTTTCCTGTTTTGGCTCTGTGTGCCTCACCATTGTTGACCAGAGTTCATGAGTAAAGCCACTGAGGTCAGGAGTACACTGCACTGGTGAAATGCAAACTTAATAGGAGGAAGCAACTTTCTCAGGCTGTCAAATATTCTGATGTTTTGTTAAGTGGATCTGAGTTGCTTTGTAGAGGGATTGGAGGAATGAGGGAGGGCAAGGGAATCTGCTGAGAAGAACTCCTCCCCCAACCTTTATACATCTTTGTCTCCTCCTTGTTGCTCTTATTAAATACCGGCATTCTGTCCTGGAAATGAGAGAGGCAGATGATTGGAATAAAGTGGTGGGAATCATCTGCAGTCTCCCACCCTCCAGCTGGTCTGTACAATCAGTGAATCTTGACTGTCTTTACTGGTGCCCAGTCCAGAATCTGATTTTATTCCCGTTGGGGGGTGGGATCCAGACAATACGATCGTGTTGTCCTATTTGTGCTGATTTTTGACTTTTGAATATAATTTTTTGTTTATTTTTATAAGAAAACTGCCCATCCTCTGCAGAGATCTTATTTTTGTAAATACACTGCCCCCATCTGAGGATGGGCTGCGTAACAGTGAGCCAAGGCAGGACAATGTTACGCTCACATCTGGTGCATTGTATTGCACATTCTTTTTACCACTTCTGTTCTCTTTGCCCTTTGTATAGGACTAACCAGAATGATATCCTACTGTATCATGCCTTACCTTGTGATAAGAGAAATGTCCTGTTTGGAAAAAGCCACATAGGTCTAGAGGACCATGAGGTTGAAAAGGCAGGACCTTAAATGGTGACCTCACCCTGTTTGGGATTAGTTTAATACATTGTAGATTATACAACCCAATTTCTCTCCCTATTGATTGATGTCAGAGCTCTGCTGGCTGGAGGCTAATTACTATTAAATACTAAAAAGTGAATGCTGACCATGTCACCTCACTTGGTTTCTTAACCCTCTCGATCAAGATGGCTAACTTTCTGTATCAAAGAACAAAGCTCCAGAACTTGTTTACCAAACTCTATATTAGGTAGTGATTTTACAGTCTGTCCTCATCATAATGGAAAGGTTTTTATCCAAGACAAATTTTATATATCCATGTGCCTCAATAGGTGGGTCCCAGTCTTGTTCCCATCTATTGTGCTGCTCAGCTGTAACCTGGGATCAGAAGTTCACCCAGTGTCCCCTTGCTGCTGTCCTTCACTGTTTTCAATGAGTTACAGATGTAACAAAGGCACCAGCAATGTCCCTCTAAACATGTTTTTTAATGCAGTTTTATGTATATAGATTTAATTTCTGATACTGTAATGATATCATTCTATTTGTGCCATGTCTTTTAGGGAGTTTATTGAAACTGTATTTAATCTTGGAAATTGAACCAATTAATAGCGATCATGGATTAAAAAAAGGGAAGCCAAGACTATCACAAGGTCTGGCCAGCCTGCAAATGGGTGTTTTTCACGTAGCACTTGCAATAGGTATGGTTTTTAATAAAAACAATTTTAAACAACTTCAAGAGCTTTTCATGAATTAATTGTGTGTAATTCAAGGTGTTTCTTTGGGCCACGCAAGTATCATTGGTAAACCCTATCCTGCACTCATTTACATTCAGAACTCATTTAATTGCTCACTCTCATTTGCTGTATCAGGTGAGAAGCTGGAAAATGGATTCCATGTGCTAGAAAATCAATCTTATTGGAAACCTGGATAATAAGGCTGTAGCCATCTGTTCACTATGTTTTTTTTTAAGAAAATCTACGGATGCTGAAAATCTAAAACAAAAATAGAAATTGCTAGAGAAACTCAGCAGGTCTGGCAGTATGTGTGGCAAGAAAGCGTTTTGGTTTCTGAAGAAGTCATTGGCTCTGAAATTGGCATCTGCTCCCGAGGTGAGACATTCCACTCCCAGACATCCTAGATGTCCTGGTTTTTCAAGGACCGCAACTTCTTCCACAGTGGTCGAAAACGCCCTCGACCGCATCTCTCTCGTTCCCCGCAACTCATCCCTCACACCCCCTCCCCGCAATAACAACAAAAACAGAATCCCCCTCGTCCCCACGTACCACCCCAATGCATCATCCTCTGCCACCTGCAATCTGACCCCACTACCAAGGACATTTTTCCCTCCCCATCCTTATCTGCTTTCCGGAGGGACCACTCCGTGACTCCCTTGTCAGTTCCACACTCCCCTCCAGCCCCACCATCCCCGGCACTTTTCCCTGCAACCACAGGAAGTGCTACACCTGCCCCTACACCTCCCACCTCACCCCCATCCCAGGCCCCAAGAAAACCTTCCACATTAAACAGATGTTCACCTGCACACCTGCTAATGTGGTATATTGTATCCGCTGTTCCCGATGTGGCCTCCTCTACATCGGGGAAACCAAGCGGAGGCTTGGGGACCGCTTTGTGGAACACCTATGCTCGGTTCACAACAAACGACTGCACCTCCCAGTCGTGAACCACTTTAGCTCCCCCTCCCACTTCTTGGATGACATGTCCACCCTGGGCTGCCTCCAGTGCCACAACAATGCCACCCGAAGGTTGCAGGAACAGCAACTCATATTCCGCTTGGGAACCCTGCAGCCTAATGGTATCAATGTGGACTTCACAAGCTTCAAAATCTCCCCACCCCTGACCGCATCCCAAAACCGGCCCAGCTCATCCCCGCCTCCCTAACCTGTCCATCCTTTCTTCCACCTCAACCACCACACCCCTACCAGCCTCATCCCTGCCTCCTTGACCTATCCGTCCTCCCTGGACTGACCTATCCCCTCCCTAACTTGCCACCTACACTTACTGGTTCCATCCCTCCCTCTTTGACCTGTTTGTCTCCTCTCCGCTTCTTCTTTATCCATCTTCCCTCCACTTCCCCGCCTCTCCCTGTTTATTTCAGAATCCCCTTCCCCTCCCCCATTTCTGAAGAAGGGTCCAGACCCGAAACGTCAGCTTTCCTGCTCCTCTGATGCTGCTTGGCCTGCTGTGTCCTTCCAGCTCTACACCTTGTTATCTCATTGGCTCTGAAATGTTGATTTCGGCTTTCTCTGCGCTGATGGTGCCAGACTTGCTGAGTTTTAGCAATTTGTTTTGTTTCAGCTTACTAACTAAGGTTGATGCTGAGATTGGGCATGTGTGCTCACAGGGGCTTATATCTGCCACTGCTAACTTTGAGTGATGCCCTCTCCACTTCAGACTGCCCTGGAAGGGAATGTGTCTCTCGAATTTGAACAGTGAAGCTTGCTGTCTCTCACTGCCACTTTGCAGTAAACCCACGAGTGCTATCAAACCAAAAAGACTTTTCACCTACCACACAAATAAATGTGCCAGTGATGCCAGGTACATAGGTCCATGAGTCATTGGGCCTATCAAACAACATGTCCTGTTGACCATTTGCAGTTGACCAATCCAGCTTCATCAGCCCACACTTGCCACTATCAGCAAAGTATATCCACTGTTGAGTGATTCTGCTATTGGAAAGCATTATTTAAATGATCCAGGCTCTGCTAAGAGCTGCACTGCAAAACCGTTTAAGATCACAAGGTGAAACATTTGTGTGTGCTAGACGCTACACTGACTCCAGTGAAGGGAATTTGTATGTTTTCAAAACAAAAGGTGCAAGGTACTGTCATGGGCTACAGCAAGCAAAATCCACCTGCTCTGAGAATTCAAATTGACATTTAACTGCTGTTGTTATATCTCTGTTCTAACTGTGGCCCAAAACCAATCATCACCCTCTTCTCATTCTATATTAAATGTGGTCTTTCTCTTCCCCATCCCACTGTTTCTTGCCTCGTAGTTCTGTGACAGACCAAAAGCTTCAGCTGCTAGTCCTCTTTTAGTAATACTTAAGCTCTGGCCTACCATGTCTATATAAATGTTTTCTAAACTAATTCGTGGCTGGCATCCATTACTAAGTGAAAGGTGGTGATGAGGTGTAAGGTGACATTTCCACTTTACAGTACCAGCTTTGGGGACCTGGCAAGCAGTTTGCATTCCCCAATAAAGTGCAGCTTTGGAACCAGGGGAAATCACTGAATATCCTTCAAGACAGAGGCACCTTGTTAGGCAGGGAAATGTAAGGTTATCTGCAGTAGATGGGAATGTAGAATTCTAAACAAAAATACAGCCATTTAAAGCCTGTGGACATCCAGCCAACCCTGGATTTGTTTGCTTGGACATCACTATGGCTGATCTGTGGATATTGGTTTAGTTAGAAACTCACTGCTGCAATTCTTGATCGCTGTGTGTTTTCTCTCCAATCTGGTCTTCGGTCATTGAGTCAAGCTGCTCTGGGTCCAGTACAGTTAAACGCCAGCATCTGCCTAAAAGTGGAAAATTCCTTGGCATACCCCATTCACAAGTCATGCAAAAGCTAAGCTACACAATTACTCAGAGTTGACTGATGGGGTAACACTGTCATCATATTGCTATCAAACAGCATTTAGCAGTAAATTGCTCAAGTTTCAGCAATGCTTAGCCAGCCCTGTGACATCTATCGCAGACAGGGATAATGTGGAATCTTCTCCAAATCACTCAATTGTTGCTCAGAATTATATCACTGTTTCTTCAAAAGACACTGGCTCAAAATCCTCCACCTCCTGCCCTAACAGCATGTGGGAGTTGCATACCACCATTTTGCTGGTAATTAAGGACAGGGGCTGAATGCTGGCCTTGCCAGTGACACACTCAGCCCATGAAGGAAAAAAAAATCAATGGCGAACTTTAAGTTTGTACCAGTCAGCAGCATTTTATCTTAAGATGACAGTGGTTGGACTGTATCTAATAGCCATCCTGTGAGCTACTGCAAACCAGAGTTCGTACTGCCCTCAAAAGCGTAAATACCTCTGATCTCCTTAACCCCCTTCAATGAAACACTGGGTTCAGCTTAGATAAAAGAAAGTTTTAATTCAGAAAAAGGTACAATATTTAAAGCAAAACAACAAGAATGTTTAAATCACCAGGCTTATATTAAATGAAAATATACAAAACATTTACTTTCCACAGAGAAACCTTATATTGGGCAAGGTGATGGTACTGAAGAGAAGAGGTGGTTCTAGACTCCTGATAACACATGGAAGCTTCATCCTGCTCATCATTCTCACTGTATAGAAAGAAAGGTTTAGAACGGGTTACGTTTTACATTGGTACACTCCTTGTCCCTTTCCTGATTCAGACAAGGTTTATCTTATTGAATCAGAATTGTTACAGTGCAAAACAAGGACATCGTGTTCTGCACTAGTTCTCCAAATTAGCATTTTACATTCTAAAGCATTCTCATCATAGCCTTGCAGTCTTCCTTTGCAAGTAGTCTTAATTCCTTCTCAAATGTCTCCATCATACTTTCCAGACCCTAACTACTTGGCATGTAAAAATGTTTTTTCCTCGTTTCACTTTTGCTGCTGTTAAGAGAAGTGGATCGATATGTAATATCCACCAATGCATCACTCTTCATTCATTGCAAGTTGACAGATTTAAAATAAAGCCCTGTTCAACATTCCAGTCTGCTCACCACCACCCCCTGTCAATGTGCCCAGGTCAGGATCCAGTCCCCACTCTGCCAGTCCTTCCCACCCAGAATCAGAGTGGGAGAAGAGAAAACAGAAGTCTTATGGGATACAGAAGATTCTAAAAACAAAGTATTGTAGAAACTCAGCAGGTCTGGCAGAAACTTTGGAAGAGAAACACAGTTACTTTACATACTTTTGGAAAAGAATCGACTTACTAGAGATGGTCAGCATAGCTTTATGTGGGGGAGGTCTCAAAAACTTGATTGAGTTTTTTGAGGAAGTGACAGAAGATGATGAGGGGTAGGGCAGTGCATGTTGTCCACATGGACTTTACTAAAGCATTTGCCAAGGCCCCTCATGGTAGGCTGGTCCAGGGGATTAAGTCACATGGGATCCAACTAAGTTAGCAAATGGGATACAAAATCAGCTTAGTCATAGGGGACCCAGGGTAGTTGTGGAGGGCTGTTCTTCTGATGGAGGCTTGTAACCAGTGGTGTTCTGCAAGGATCACTATATTGTTGTTTACAATATCTTTATATAGGACTTTGATGAAAATATAGGTGATCTGATTAGTAAGTTAGCAGACAATTTAAAAACGGAGGGAGATGTGGATAGTGAGCAAGGTTATCAAAGGATATAACAGGATACAGTGCGGAGAAATAACAGATGGAGTTTAATCTGGATAATAGGAGCTGATGCTTTTGGGGAGGCCAAACGCAAGAGGAAAGTGTACAGTCAAATGGCAGGATCCTGAGGAGCACTGATACACAGAGGGATTATGGGGTGCAAGGCCATAGCTCCCTGAAAGTGGGGTAAGCAAGGTGCACAGCATGCTTGCCTTCATCATTCGGGGTGGAGTATAAAGCTAGCAGGTCATTTTGCAGTTGTATAAAACTAGTTAGCACATTTGGAGTATTGTGTACAGTTCTGCTCCCCAAACTAAAGGAAAAAATGTGGAAACTTTGGAGAAGGTGCAAAAGAGGTTACCAGGACGTTGCCTGGATTGGAATATATTAGCTATAAAGGAGAGGTTGGACAAATTTGGATTGTTTTCACTAGAACAGCGGAAGCTGACAGCCAACTTTATTGAAGCATATAATATTATAAGAGGCATGAAAAGGATGGACCGTCTGAGTCTTCTTCCCAGGGTGACAATGTCAAAGTTTTTTCACACAGATGCTGGCAGATTTCTCAAACTGGCTGCCAGGGGAGTTGGTAGAAGCAGATATGATAGCAAGAAACATTTAGAAAGTTACATATACAGGCAGGGAATAGAGGCACATGGACTACATGCAGCCTGATGAGATTACTTCAGATTGGCATCAGGTTCAGCACAATGTGGGTAAAGGGCCTATTCCGGTGTTGTAGAGTCCTAAGTTCTAATGTTAAGTCCAATGACTCAAAGAAGCCAAACAGTCATATTGGACTTGAGACTTTGATTTTTATTTCAGATTTCCAGTATCTGCAGTATTTTGCTTTTGTGGAAAATCAGAAATAACAAATCGGTGATTAGATGTAATGAAACAAACAGATTTTAAAACACCTCCCAAGATGGTGCACTTTTGCCACTGCAGGAGCTTCCAGAAATTGGGAAAGGTGACTCTTTGTGCTTTATCAGAGAGAGTACAAATTATTTTTCCCTACACTTCCCTAATGTTCAGGACATCCACCTTCACTTTAGGAATCATGGAAGGATACTGGAGGGGGAAGAACTCATAACCAGGAGATAAGTGCTGGCTTTTTAAAACTAGACTCTCCCATGAGGGAGAAAACATCCTCTCTATGTTTACCCTGTCAAGCCCTTTAAGAATCCTACATATTTCAATGAGATCACCTCTGGTTCTTCTAAACTTCAGTCAGTAGAGTCCCAACTGGTTTAACCTTTGCTCACAGGGCAATTCCTCCATACTATCCTAGTGAACCTTCTCGGAACTGCCTCCAGAGAAATAATATCTTTCCTTAAATAAGGGAACCCAAACTGCTCACAGTACGCCAGATGTGGTCTCACCAGCTCCTTGTACAATTGCAATAAGACTTCCCTAACCTAACACTCCAACCCCTTTGAAATAAAGGCCAGCATTCCACTAGCCTTCCTGATCACTTGCTGCCAGTGAACGAGCTTTCTGTGTCTCTTGCACAAGATTCCCCCCAAGTCCCTTTGTGTTGCAGCTTTCTGAAATTTCTCTCCATTTAAATAATATTCTGTACTTTTGTTCTCCCTTCCAATATGGGCAACTTCACACTTTCCCAATTTATATGCCATTTGCCAGTATTTTGCCCACTTACTTAAACTATCAATATCTCTCTGTAAACTGTCTGTATAGGTTTTACAATGTTATTTTCCCTTTACGTTGGTATTTCTCGTGAATTGCAAAGTTGCTCTCGAGTGCAAAATAAAAAGCTTCACCAAAATTAGTCTCTTCAGCAGTTACAAGTTCTGTATTACCAAATGATTTCCTAAAAACTTGCTATTTTTAACAAGAATGTTGGTTGGCAGATAAGAACAGGCAGAAAGTGCAGCCTGTCTCCTTCACTGGATTCTCATGGTTTCCATTACTTTATTAGACAGATATTTTCCAATCAGTCTGTTCAGAAATGTTCAGAAATGTTATGTTACATATTAGCAGCAAGTGGGACTTGATCCCAAGCCCCTGGCTTAGAGGTAGGGACACTACCATAGCACCACAAGAGCATCCACCCACCCAGCCACTCAGCACTTTAACAAATATGAACCTGCCAAAACAACATGAAGCTCACAACTATTTATCAGCTTGCATCATGGGTGCAGTATTCTCTGTCTTCCCACCACTAAGCTCTCTACCCTGATCAATCTTGTGCCCCATGCACACAAGCCTCACCACCTTCATTATCAAGGCTGGACTGCTGCCTCTCCAGGTCAGGTTAACACAGCTCCAGGTTTCACAATACACTCACCTTGGCCTTATTCTGTACAGGTAGGTAAAGTTTGAATTCAGCTGGGAGCTCATCCTCAGAATACAGCCTGTCAGAGAAGTAAACTCGGCGGATTCGACAGTTTGCATGAATCTGAGAAGTGAACAAGGCAACTTTTAAACTCCAGCACCAGCACTGAAAACAGCACCACAGTGACACAGCCTCTTGGGAAAACAATGTGCTCTACAAATCAGGGAATGTTTACGTGATCTCTTGGATCCCACTCCCGGAGCTACAGTCACAGGACAAGGGAGGACCAGTGCTGTGAGCACATTTACACGCCGAAAACACAGGACAAAGGTCCAAAGATGTTGTGAAATCTTCCCAACAGCTCCATTTCCCCTAGTTGCCTGAAATAACCAAGCAGTTGCCAAACAGGAAAGCTTTAATCAGGCCAGTGATGTCTGACAAGGAGACACAGCCAGAATAATACCCAGAGATTACTGTGTACAACAGCCAGAGTCCAGCGAGCTCTCAGGAAGATGGGAACAACAGATAATCTCCAAGGGCAACACAAGGTGTCTGTACAGCAGGAGGCAGCAATGGATCAGAACAGAGTTATGGAGCAAAATTGTTTTTTCCTTAGATTCCCTCTTTGAAGCTAGAACTGAAGAGGAGTTTCCAGGAAGTAACAGGCAAGAAAATTAATTCACTTCTTTTCCATGGAATGAAACACTTGGAAAAGGTGGCGCCCACCCCATCATAACAGGATCAGACACACACACGGATGGACAAACATAGACATACAAATTGGGGGCAGGAGTAAACCAGTCAGCACACAAATCTGGTCCGATAAAGATTACAGCTCATTTATTGTGGTCTCAACTCCATTTCCCACTGACTCCTGATAACCTTAGACTCTCTCCCTCGTTGGTCAAGAATCTATCAAATTCTCCCTAAAGTGTGGTGTTTGAGCCTGGACGCAATGTGCTCTCCATTTAAAAAGATGCTTTTTTAAACATAAGCAGTTGACATAAGCAGGTCCCCTGTGTTAAAATGCTTATTTCCACCCAGTTGGAGATGGCGCTAACACTCTGCTCCCAGCTGACAGCCCCATCTCCCCCGCCCGCCTCACCTGTACTCGCAGAGTCTCAATGTAGTTTGTGCCGTACGCTCGCCGGGTGAAATCGGACAGGTTAAACTGGATCTGGTTCCAGCCATCATCCAGCCTCATCGGCATCGTGCAGATGAACGGCTTCACCCGAGTCGTACTCTGGTAGTTACTCGCTCGGAATCGCCGGCGCACATTCTTATCATCCAGAACCTGCACAGAGACGGAGGGGCAGGCAGTCAGTGGCAGGCAGAACATGCAGAGCAAGGGAGGGGCAGGCAGGCAGTGGCAGGCAGAGCGAGGAAGGGGCAGGCAGGCAGAGCGAGGGAGGGGCAGGCAGGCAGGGTCAGGCGGATTGAGGGAGGGGGCTGGGTAACAGGCGGTCGGGGCCGGTGCTGGGCGAAGTGAGGGAGGGGGCCGGGCAGAGTGAGGGAGGGGGCTGGGGAACAGGCGGTCGGGGTGGGGGCCGTTGCTGGGCAAAGTGAGGGAGGGGGCTGGAGAACAGGCAAAGTGAGGGAGGGGGCTGGAGAACAGGCGGTCGGGGCCGGGCGGAGTGAGAGAGGGGGCTGGGGAACAGGCGGTCGGGGCCGGGCGGAGTGAGGGAGGGGGCTGGGGAACAGGCGGTCGGGGCCGGGCGGAGGGAGGGGGGGGGGCGGGGGAAGGGGAGGTGGGGGTCGGGGTCAGGGCCGGGGCCGGGGCCAAGGGAGGGAGAGTAGACAGGCAGAGGGGTGTTGAGGAGGAGGAATCGGGTACTCGGGACTGGGTGGAGTGAGCATACACAGCTGTGTTCAACATGAGATCTCCACAGCCTGTGCAGTCTCGCAGAATGTCCCCTCTCCATCCTTCCCAACACAGTTTACTCACTGAGTGCATGGCTATATTCCTCACTCTACCTGCACTTCAAAAGTAAAATATTTCTTCAGGTTCTTGATGATCATCACCAGGAAAGGTAGCTTGATACCGAGGGTCTTCTTGGGATCTGCTGGGCAGGTGATGTATGTTGTGCTGTAAAGGATTTCCGCTGTGATTAGTTTCACCTTAAAAACTTTTCCCAAACTCAGAGTCCCAGCTCCAGGCCCTGGGAAACTCGAGCCAGCTCTGAATCATATCACAAAGGAACAAGAGGAGGCCATTCAACCCATTTCAGTGTCATTTTAGCAATATCCCTCAACATAATTAGTGTCGAGAAATCTATCAATCTCTGTCTTGAATACTCAATGCAATGTCCACAGCCCTCTGGAGGAAAGAAATCCAAAGACCCAGTCTCATCAATCTTTCTGTGGAACACAATCCCCTGTCCCAGGGATTAATCTGGTGAAGCTGGTGGCCAAAGGGCCTCTTTCCAAGCTGATAAACATCTTCAGTTCTGAAGAAGGGTCACCAGACCTGAAATGTTAACTTTGTTTTCTCTCCTCAGATGCTGCCAAACCTGCTGAGTTTCTCCAGAAATTTCTGTTTTTGTTTCTGATAAAGACAGTCCATGACACAGGTGCATTCTCTCTATGGAATGTACAGATAAAAAGTCCCACACCTCACACATATAGACTCACCATTATTCTATACAAGTGAAGCAAGACTCCCTGACTTCAACT